TAACACTTACAACATCAGGACGGATTGTCCTCTTACATGAATATTACACAAATGTAACTCCAGGGGGCCTGAGTCTCCACTCCCTTACAGCACTGCAGTCAGTGGGAAATGCTGGTGTATAAAGAAGCCTCAGAGGGGGCCAGGATCTGGTCCACAGAGAAAAGACTGTGCAAATTAGCACAGGTCACTGACCTCACTGGAGCTATGCTGATTTACACCAGCTGAGCATCTGGCCCCCTGACCTTACAGGAGCTATGCTGATTTACACTGGCTGAGGATCAGGCCCCCTAACCTCACTGGAGCTCCGCTGATTTATACCAGCCACAGCTCTGGCCCAAGGCACCTTTTGGAGTTTTGTTTTGGGGGTGGTTGCGTGGGTTTGGTTTTGGAAGGGAGCGTCCGTCCGCACCACTGCTGTGAAACCCTCCCCCCATCCGTGGGGGGCCTGTGCTGGTCCTCTCCTCACCAGAAGCTCTGTTCGAAAAGTTCCTGGCTGGCAGTATCTTGGCAGTTCTAGTCTAGCCTGTGGTTTGGTCACCCACTCTTTGGGAAGATAACCTGCCAAACCAACCAATTCTCTCCATTCTGCCCTCTGCGGTGTCTCCACTGGTGAAGCTGAGTTGAGAATCTGGGCCTCATTTTCTCCATTAGTTTTCGTGGGCATCAGCACTACTGTCACAGGAGCTTCCATCATCTCTTCCCCTACCCACTTCTCTGATGTTGCTTCTAACTTGTCACTGGTGTTTCGCACCAAACAGTGTAGGGCATCTCCTATGGAGCCTGGAGATGCTCTCATCATGTTGCTGCTCACACGCTATGTTCTCCAAACACCCGGTGGCCCAGCAGATTTCCCACTGTTCGCTCACTCTTCCTTACTCCTGTCCATAATTCTCAGCTACGAAGGCCCAAATGCATACCACTGACTGTTAAACAGGTGTCAGAATACAAGCAACAAGCAAAGACCATGGCTGAGGAGAAAGGAGTTGACAATTACACAGAATTGTCTGTCTAACATGTCTCCAGGTGCCACAATGATGGATGTATTAGGAATGCCGGTAGCTTGCTAGATTAGATAGATGCTCTGTAATCTCAGACTCATCAGGTGTTACCTGTTGTTTACAACAGCACACAGTGAAAGAAGAAGAGGTCTGAGTGGGAGGGAGGGAGGAACATTTCTGGCTGCAGTGAGTGCTGTAGCTCATACTGATCAGATGGTGCATAGCTGGAGAGGTGTGCTCCTGCCCAACCAGTCTCAGGCCCAGCTTTCACCTCCTGGCAGCACGGCTCCTAACATCACCAAAATGGCAGTTGTGGGTTACAGCATGAGAAATAGAAAGCACAGCTCTAGGGGAAGGGCATGAGCCACTTCCCTGCCAATCCAATCGGCAATGAACTCGACAGAAGGAGGAGGAAAAGGGATGTGGCAACATTGTCAGCTCTTTTGCTGCTCCCCAGTTGCTAGGCCATGGAGATGTCCTTTACACACGCATGGCCCCAAGCCTGTTGAGAATTCAGAGGGGAAAATAAATTCTGGCTCTAGCAAGATAGCCTGAGTTCACCATACCTGAAGAGTGTGGCGGAAGCAATGCTGCACAGTGACGTTTAGTTGAGAATAAAAGGCTTCCTTCCTTATGAAAAGGACATGGGGTTTTTCTCCCCGGGCCCCACCTTTTCATCAAGGATTACATCAGGCTTGGGCCCAGTGTGCCTCGAAGGCCCGAAGGAAAAGGAAAGCAAAGGGGGGAGGGAAACCCTTCCATTGGAAACCTGGTGCCACCTCCTTAGATCCAAGGCCCTCACCTCCCCCACTCGGATGGCAGGTACCCTGTGGCTCCTGTTTGCTCTAGGTGGTTTGCCCAACATAGAGCTGGTAATAGTTCCCATCAGTCATTGTAACTGTCTGTGTCCTCAGCAGGCTTTATCTGAACAGCATTTGTTTACGGTCAATCCCACCACTTCCTTGAGAGGTTTGTGGGTATTCTCCTTATCCCATCCCACCATTGCCAAGGCCTCTTCCAGTGCCATCTGTGTAGCAGGAGCTTTTCTCAGCAAGCTCTTTTCCAATGGTATTTGCTAAAACACAAACAAAATCTGAATGAACAGTCACCCTCTTCCCCTCCTTTGCACCCATTTCTGTTCCCTGGTTCCCTCCCCGCCCCACTCCTGCAAGAATTGCATTAGACCCAGCACTGGATGTTGCCTCTTTAGTGTGTAGCCTGATGCTGCACTTGCAGAGAAATAACCAAAATAACCAAGCAGAGAGCCATGAAACCCTACCAGCCTGTCATCTTTAGGCACAAATGAAGCTAGTGTCTGTGCTTCTGATCCTGGCCTCCTACTGTACCTCTGCTGACCTCCTGGTTACCTTGGAGCACCCACCTGACCTGTCAGCTCTTGAGGAGGCACCAGAAGCTGCAAACACTGGAATCAGCTAATTCCCTTGCAAATCTTCCCTTTTGCCCTTCTGGTACTTTCCATCTCTGATAAGAGTCTTAGTACTGCATCTTACTCAGGCTCACTGAGTCCAACTGGTCTCTTCTGCATGCAGACTGGTGTCCCTTGTTTCTCTTTCTGATTCTTTGTTGGCCTGGTACTTCCTACCAACAAGTTCCCTGCCAAATTATCCTCCTTCTGGGGATAACACCATTTAGTTCACTAGCCCAGAAGGAAGGCACTGACCTAGCCCAAAAGAAGCTCAAGACCCTCTGTACAACTGAAGACCCTCTGTACAAAACCAGAGCACCATGTCCTCTTTAATTCCTGTGGTTGTATCACCCCATCAGAGTTACGAAGCCCTTTAAGTGCCAGAGCCCTGCCATCCAAGCACACCCTGCCTCCTACAGACAAATCACTGTGCAGTCCTATTCTCCACCTTGACTCATTATTACTCAGTTTAGTTCACAGGTAAGATTCCACTGGCTAGCTCTGCACTGTTCTCTGGTCTCTGATCAATAAAACAGGGGAGAAGAAAAAAAAGTCCTTTCTCCTGGGACCCCTCGGGCCCTTTGTTCTTAGCAACATGTGGGAACTCTAGAGCTCATGGTCAACTGATCCAGACTCCTCAGGATCATGACATTGCTGTGAACAGCGTCTCTCTAACAGTCACCATGACACAGCCATGGGAACCTAATAATTGATTCATGGATGCTACAGCCAGAAGGGACAATTATGATAATCTGATCTGGCCTCCTGTGAAACAGGCCACAGAATTTCACCCAGTGATTCCTGTATAAAGCCCCCAAATTTTGGTTGAACGAGAATGTATCTTTTAGAAAAACATCCTAATCTTCATTTAAATAGTTCAGATAATGGAGAATCCACCACATGCTTTGGCAAATTGTGCCAATAGTTAATTATCCTTAAAATTTTACACCTAATTTCTTGTTTGAATTTGTCAAGTTTCAACTTCCAGGCACTGGATCTGCTGGTTTAAAGAGTCCTCTACTACCAGAAATCTTCTTCCCATACATAATATAAGCAACAACAACAAAAAAAATTCAACAGTACATATAGGGAAAATACAAAAGTGAGAAACTGGCAACAAAATGGAAACAGCAATGCGGGATGCATGTGAAGTTCTTGCAACTATTTCTGTTTAAAAAAATTACACAACTGCAGAAGTACAGATTTTTGGCAGGTATATTTAAAGCTGAAGGAATACAGAGTAAAGTGAATTTATTCCCCAGGTGGCTGGCTTCCCAAATGTCAGCCAGACGCAATGGGGTTACACTCTGGGCCTGGCTTACTCTGAGCTATATTCAAATCTGGGGCACCCAGGATTTATTGATGAAGCCCTTACCAGTATTATCACTAGTGGGGCAACATTGTATCCAGAAGTTTCAATCAGTTAGGTTTGTACTGTATGTGAATACCATGGTGAAGACTGTATGGCCTTTTGTATGACAGTGATGCAACTCCCATCCAGCTTTCCTAGTGGTCTTCTTCATACAGCGGAAGGAGCATCAAGGTAGATTAAAAGAAAGTCCTTAGATCCTTGAAACCAACACTTAATACAATCAACAGCAGTATGGGTCCACTCTTGCACATTACTGAGCACCCGCAGTTCCTATTGGCTTCCATGTGAAGGTCCCAGAAGGAACCATTATGATCATCTGATCTGATCTCCTGTATAACAGGCCAGTAACTCCCACATCAAACTTAACAACTCCTGGTTGAATGAGAGCGTATCTTATGGGAAGACATCCAAACTCAATTTAAAGACTTTAAGCAATAGAGAATCCTCCACATCTCACTTCACAACAGGTGCTTAGCAGCCATGATGATATTTAAAATATCTTCATTGTGTTTATCTGCAGGTAATGAAATGACTAACGAATCCATCACTCTCACACAGAGCTTTTTATCCTGTGACCCCAGAGCACTCTACTGATGGGGAAGCTGAAGTGACTTGCTCAAACACACCCTGCAGGCCCAGCACAGAACCCAGATCTCTTGAGTGCCAGTTCAGCACTCTACCCTCCTGGCCACACTACCCACTTCCCTCGGGATCTCAGTCATGTGCCCGTATGCTCCTGACATGAAGGTCTGGGTCACAGCCACACTTTCCACATGTGGTCTTTCTCTGACTGGATAAGGTATCCTAGTTTGTGTGGATTCCTTCCTTTCCAGCTGCAGTATTCATGGAGCCTGGGCAGTATTTCACACTGTGTGTGTTGGGTTGGGGCCCAGGGGAAAATTGTAAATTCTCAGCAAACCTATCATGTACTTGCTGCTGATTCTGACATTTCTAAAATACCTGCATAGCATGACAAACTAATTTAGCAAATACAGCTGGATGACTTACAGAACCATCACAACTGCTTCTTGCAATACAGTTCTGATCTGATTGCCTCTTCGAGACGGTTTTTACCCAGCACGTTCGATGCTGTTGCCAATAAGTGGAACAGTGTAATGTACTTTACCGCTTCTCTTCTGCTCATTTTCGACATGGCATTGGAGCAATGGGCTGCGTAGGAACCAAGAGGAACAGTGACACTTACCTGGGTTGCTTTTAGAGGTGCGCACAGGGGTGTAGTGGTTTTTGGAGGATGTTCGGACGGGCGTGTTTTCTTTGGGAGGGGTATCTATGGCCGAGATAGTCTCTCTTTCACAGTGTGCTATTGGGATTGGCCCCTGCTGCCTTAGGATGTCTGCCAGAGCCCTGGAACAGAGAAAGAGGACACAACATGTTCACAAAGCAGCAAGCCTGACATTCAAAGGTTTCACTTGTTCATCTACAGTCTCTATTTGAACCCTCCAGTGCTTTGATTTGTTAAGGAAAAATATAAAGGCAACAAAAAACCTTGTGGCTTAAGAGCTACATGTCTTTTCATGGGTACGTTACTGGACAAAGCTCCCTTTGTTCACAGGAGAGTTTGGCTATTGTTTAATCTTTCACATGTTTCCACTAATTCACTTAACCCTGAGGTTATGTTCTTCCTCCATCACTGCCCTTGCTGTCATTGCTATTGCTGTTGAATTGCTTTCTGTAGCAGAAAGCCCTGCCTTCATAAAAATGATTACTAGGCAGACGGGATCCCCAGGCCAGGTGCAGCATGAGAAGCAGGAGTGCAGGTTTCCCTCGACCTGTCCCTACCCAGCCCCAAGCCAATTTTCCTCAACCCTGATCCTGGAGGTGCGAAGGGGAGTTCAGTCCCATTGCTCATTTAATCCTGACTTTTTCTGTCCACAGGGGGACCAATAAAGGTTCATGGTGGTGTTGGGTTTTTGAATTAGGGTCACTGCTGAGATATTTCACATGGGCTATCATTATCAGAGCTACAAGCTTATCTGTGGCATCTTCCCCATTAGAGACTTGTCTGATGGAATCAAGATTGAACAAGGTTCTCTGTGGGAAAAAATATCTGCATTCAACACCATAGGAATAAATTGCATCTAGTGATTTCCCTGTGAAAGCAGGAACACTCAAAAGATATTTAATCTGTGAGTATCATACACACTGTGGAATAACTATAGCATGAAACACACTGATTTTTTAGTGCAGCCAACAGCTATCTCCCGACCAGCAGGAGAAAGGGCAGAACTGTTTTGGTTGTAAGGGATGTTTTAAAACTGATTGAGTTTGAAAGGTTCAGTTCTCTCAGACAGAGGGAACAGGCCTAAAATCACCTTGGGTACCAACAAAGAAATTCCTCCATTGCTGTCATAAATATAAAGGGAAGGGTAACCACCTTACTGTGTACAGTGCTATAAAATCCCTCCTGGCCAGAGGCAAAACCCTTTCACCTGTAAAGGGTTAAGAAGCTAAGACTGGCACCTGATCCAAAATGGCCAATGAGGGGACAAGATACTTTCAAATTTGGAGAGGTGGAACAAAGGGTTTGTCTGTCTGTGTGATGCTTTTGCCAGGGACAGATCAGGAATGCAGCCTTACAACTCCTGTTAAGTTAGTAAGTAATCTAGCTAGAAATGTGTGTGTTTTTCTTTTGTTTAATGGCTGGTAAAATAAGCTGTGATGGATGGAATGTATATTCCTGTTTTTGTGTCTTTTTGTAATTTAAGGTTTTGCCTAGAGGGATTCTCTATGTTTTGCATCTGATTACCCTGAAAGGTATTTACCCATCCTGATTTTACAGATATGATTCTTTTACCCTTTCTTTAAATAAAATTCTTCTTTTAAGAACCTAATTGATTTTTCATTGTTCTTAAGATCCAAGGGTTTGGGGTCTGTGTTCACCTGTACAAATTGATGAGGATTCTTATCAAGCCTTCCCCAAGAAAGGGTGTGTAGGGCTTGGGAGGATATTTTGGGGGAAGACGTCTCCAAGTGGGCTCTTCCCCTGTTCTCTGTTTAAAACGCTTGGTGGTGGCAGCATACTGTTCAAGGACAAGGCAAAGTTTGTACCTTGGGGAACTTTTTAAGCTAAGCTGGTAAGAATAAGCTTAGGGGGTCTTTCATGCAGGTCCCCACATCTGTACCCTAGAGTTCAGAGTGGGGAAGGAAACTTGACAATTGCATATTCATAACGTTGGTGTTGCTCACATTTGCTGTCTTTACTGAAATGCCTTATCTATTGTCCAATATCAGACAGAGTTTAGAACCTGAATCTGTTCCATTTTGAAAATATTTCAGACTATGCCATACATGTGCACAATGCATTGCAGGAATAATTTGCAATGTACTGCACTGCTCTTCTTCTAGCCTCAGTCCCTCTTTATGAGGTTGGTTCTTTGAGTCTCTCTATGCAAGAACCCAACTGAGGCTCCCAAAGCACTTTAGTTCACAACATCCCTGTGAGGAAGGGCAGTGTTACAAAACTCAATGTCCCAGAACACCCCCTCACAGCCCAGTGGAGCACTGCAGCAGCTTTACCTCAGTTTCCCCTTGGTCTTCCACAACTGCACCCAGCTGTCACTGCCTTCCATTGAGCCCTCCAGCCAGAGATGAAAGTAAGCCGGTACGGTTCGGTATGGCACACTGGCAAGAGCCGGTATACAGCCGACCGTACCGGCAGGGGGTAGCTTCCCCAGGCTGACAATTTAAAAGGGTCCCTGGGCTGCCGGAGGCCTGGGGTAATGGCAGTGGCCAGGAGCCCAGTGCCCGTTTAAACTGCCAGCGGAGGAAAGCTGCCTTCTGGGGTAGTGGCAGCGGCCAGAAGCCCCAGGGCTCCGGTGTCGATTTAAAGGGCCCAGGGCTCCCAACCACCACTACTGCAGCTGGAGCCCTGGACCCTTTAAATCACCGCCGGAGCCCCAGGTAGTGGCAGCAGCTGGGAGCCCTTGGGCTCTGGTGGCAATTTAAAGGGCTTCGGGATTTAAAGGCCCTGCCCCTTCCACCTGAGACCCCACCCCCCCACACCCCACCTTGCTCAGGACCCCAGCCCTGAGTACTGGTAAGTCCCTTACGTTACTTTCACCCCTGCTTCCAGCTAAGATACACTGAGCCCCACCCCTTCCAGGGTACCAGTGTCCATAGGCCTTACACTGAGGCCTGTAAAATTTTCTTCCCCCCTATATCAGAGCCCACCATGTACTTTCTGCTCTTGATGCTGGGTGTCCTCTGCAGCCCACTCTTAAGGTCTGTGAACAGTCCTCTTCACTCCCCCTAAGTACCAAGCAAACCCTGACCCTCTCACTGGCCTCTGGCCCTAGGTTTATTCAGGCTTCTTCCCCAGGCCCCTGCCAAAAAGAGATCTAATATCCATGCCTGTTCTCCCTCAGGGCTTCCAGCAGAGAGACTCCCTCCCCTCTAGAGAGGGTTCTGGCTCTCAGGAAGGAGCAGTCAGTCCACACCCCTCCCCTGTCATCCTCCCCCTTTCGTGCTTTCTTCCTTCTCAGGGCTTGGCTACAACTGCAGATGTAGAGTGCTGGGAGTTAACCCAGCCTTCAGAGACCGCAGCAGGGAAAATGCTGCCATGTGTTTACACTGTCAGCTGAAAGCACACTGGCATGGCCACATTAGCAGTTCTTGCAATGCCACAAAGAGCAGTGCATTGTGGTAGCTACCCCAGTGTGCAAGTGGCTGCAGCGTGCTTTTCAAATGGGGGGGGGAATGTGACAGGGAGTGTGTTGTGTGTATGTGGGGGGAGAGACAGTGTGTTTTGGGGGGCAGAGAGTGTGTCAGCAGGCTGTCTTGTAAGTTCAGACAGCAGCAGACCACCCTCCCCCCCCCAGCCTCTCTCTCACAAACACACTCACAGCAGCAGCATTCCACAATAATGGTTTGCTTTGTCCCAGAGCAGATACGCATGTTGGCTGTCAGAAATGGAGCTTTGAAAGGGGATATTCACAAGCCTGCAGCCGAGTTCAAAACAATGAAAAGAGTGGCCACTTGACTTCAGGGGATTATGGAGCATTTCTGGAGGCCAATCACCGCGCAGTAATGCAACACGTTGTCCACACTGACACCCAGGCGTTTCATCCAGGGCACAGCAAACTTTATGCTTCTTGTGGAGGTGGATTACCAGGAGCGCTCCAGCTGCAGAGTCCAGGTGCTCTATGTGCCTTGCCAGTGTGGACACCTCAGAAGTTAGGGCACCCAGGGCTGATTTAATGCACTCTAACTTGCAAGTGTAGCCAAGCCCAAAGTCCCACACCCTACCCAGGTGTAGCAGGGCAGGGCTAACTGAGTGGGGCTGGCACCGGGCCTCCCACCAGGCCTCACTGTGACAGGAAGTATTATTAGCCATGTTTGGTTATGATTGATCACATGTAGAGGCCCCCCACCAAGACAAGGTCCCCATTGTGCTGGGAGCTGTAGGCGCACACATGCAGCATGACACAGACAGAGAGAGGGGAGGGTGAGATATGCTCAGTGGAGAGTCGCACCCACTGATGACTCAGTTACAGCTCCCTAATCCTCTTGGCCCTAGCCTGAGTTAGAGCAGCCTGGGAGTTACACCAGTTTACAACAGCTGGGGGTGCACTCTGCCTCACCCCCTACACTAGAACTGTAAGTAGACAGCATAGGAGCCAATCATACCAGCTAAGAGAAACCTAGTTAGGGCCTGAGCATGGCAAAGAGGCCAGAACAAAGGAAGAGAATCAGGCCCAGAGCATTTAAGGCCCATATTTTCAAGTGCGCCCCATAATCTTGGGAGTCTGACAGTTTGGGTGCCCAACTTCAGACACCAACGGCCTGATTCCTCAAAGGTTCTGTGTGCCCATGGCTGCCGTCAACTGCACACTGAGTTGTGGGTGCTCATCGCTTCTCAAAACCAGGCCTGAGGGGTCTCAAACTGGCCACCCAAATCCTGATGTACAATGAATTGCAATATGGCCTTTTGTGACTAGCCCAAGGTTACCCAGAAGCCAGTGACAGAGCTGGGAACAGGAGCCAGGGCCCCAGGCTCTGCCCTGACCTAAACATTAGAGCACAAGTCCTTCCTGATGGGAGGATTCGTTCCTCCCACTGGTGCTCCCCTGTTGCTGCACAATGCAAACATTTCTTCCCACTGCATTTGCAATCCTGCACGCTGGTAGGCAGGGGGACCAGGAGCCAGAGTTGTCCTTTCAGGCCTAATTCTGCAAGTCCAGGGCAGGGGGAGCTCCCCCTGAAGTCAATGGCTGTTCCATGGTGACCAGCATCACAGGACTGGGCTTCAGGCACACATCTCTGAGCGATTATTCAGGCGCTGGTTAGGGAACAGCGTCTGTGCTACGGAAATGCCAGGAGTCGCTTTTCAATCACAGACATTGTGA